CTAAAATTTTCAGAACGGGTTACGGAAATCAAGTTGATAGTAAATATATCCATAACAATGTATATAGTTTTCTATAAAATTCGAAGTATACCCGCTCTGACGCTCACGCTCACGCTAAACAGTACTACCATAGAGAAGGTAGAAAGTCTCAAATTTCTCTATCTTTACATAGACGAAACACTTTAGGATTAGGAGCTTGACTTCGTTTAAAGGTAAACTTAGGAACCTTTTGTTGAATAAGGCATTTTATTTTTGTGCGAGTTACTCCTTGTCCCTATACCTAGGTACATGTGTTCCCGAATTTTTCATATTGTGTATTAGTTATTCACATCTTCGATTTTTTGGACGATTTGTATCCAGTTCACGGGCTCACACAAATAAAGTATTGTTCTATTTATTCTATTATATCATCAAAGTATGTTTTCCTATAACTTTCTTTCATATCGCTTACACAATTCATCTTTATTAAGAAAAAAAGGATACCCACCCTAACCAGCGGAACCTGTAAATAAAGTCGCAAATCCTATTAAGGTTAAAGATCTTAGACCTAGAAGCTTGTCACCCGCGCCTTATAAGGTTCAAGAAAACAACAGAAACGATATAGCTTACTCACAAAGTAAATCAAAACACCAAACAAATCTACATCAAGAGGATTACGCTAAGAAAACGAATGTTGCCACACCTTTTTTTAGAAATAAGAGGGAATGATGGTATGATTCCTCTTTTCTTTTTTCTTTAAATTAATTAATGAATTAATAAAACTCTATAAATGAAATGTAAGGGTCAGTCAATGCAAAACAGCTATATAGTGGCGTGCCAATTTAGGCACTAGCTCAATAAAGCGGAGAGTACGGGGGGGGAGGGGGGGTGGTTAAGAGCTTCAGTGACTTAAGCTGGATTAAGCCACAAATTCCCGGGGTGTTAATCGGAACTTGTTTTGCCTGACCACCCACACAAAGGAAAAGAATCTCACAGTAATGACAAAAGCTAATTAATTGTATACAGAGAGCAGAATAATACAAGATATTTAAAAAAGAATCACAATATATTATCAAAACAAGCAGCACATATGCTCCACCACTGGAGTACAGTCGCTGAGAAAGAAAGATATAATACTTCTGAAATTATGCAATCGATACAGTATGAAATTTGCCGAAAGAAAATCATTGAAAAGGGTTTGGTCTAGGAATCGGTACTCTATAATCAATAAATAGAAATTCAAATTACTGGTAAGTGATCAAAATAATAAAAAAAAGGTTACGTGATTTTGGCACATGACAATGTTGAAATGCAGTAAATGCACAATGCAAATGCCCTAATTACATACCCTTACTCATTTCGGTGGTACGCAATCCAGGCGCCGCATTGGTAAACAAAACCTTTACATATCGGTTCTAAGAAAACGAAACAAAAATGGTACATCCATATCGCAAGATCACAGATGTCCATATTATTTTAATTTACGGTGGGTACCTTAGAAGGCTTCCCGATCCTTAGTGATTTCTTTTTTTTGTTTGTAAATAAAATGTTTAGTATATAAAACTGAGGTGATCAACGTTGGCGAAGTACATGTGCGAACTTAGCAATCTGCTGCATTCATTCGGGAAAGTCAGTCTACTCCAAAAGCCTACACTGATGTTTGACTACGTCGGGCACATACTCTTTGAATCCGTCGCAGACATCTTTGAACAATACTTACAAGCGAAAGAGCTTTACTTGAAATTTCTTTTCGATAGAAAATGAGTGCTTTTCCATTTTTTTTTACTTTTTCGCTGTTGATTCACCACCCGTTAGCTTTGTTATTACAAACGTAGTTGTTTCTGAAAAGGACACTCCCAACTTTCAAGACACTGTATAATATAAGTAAGGATTAATTCATTTTTATTCCAGTTAATATACCCATGCGCAGATTGATAATTCAATTGTCCTATATTAACCACTAGATTAAAATCAGGGACAACTATCTTCCTGCATACACCAAATACCAGCAGGCGAAAACTATAAAATAAGCACTCTCTGCAATTCCATTTATCAGCTCTATTAAGTCAAGGAGTGAAATTGCCCTTTGTGCTTAATCATGAAGTGCAATTGTGTAGAACACACGCAAAGCGTCTCGCATTGTTTCGAGGAGTTGTACTGTCACTGTTCCATTGTGTTCGGGTCGAGTGATCGATGCGGAGCTCTTTTGTTTCTTGTTTTGTTTTGTTCCCATCGTTGGAGTTGGTTAGAGTTGCTGAGCTCTGCTGCTTATGGCATTTTATCACTTATTATCAGCGGCGCAGATCAAGTGTTGGGGAGGCACTTTTTAAAGAAGTACGTAATTAGTGCTTGCATTTGCCACAATATAGAACATACCCCACACCTGTACTGCCGTACTTAGGTAAAAGGCAGCAAACGGTAAACATAGAAAACTATGAGAAAATCGAGAACAAAATTCTGGATTTGTTCGAACTAAATCAACAGTGTTATCACGACAGAATAAAAACGAATATTGCAAAGCTACACGACTTTATAGAGAGTAATTTAAATGTGACGGATCATAATTACTTTTCACATCTAAAATAAATCACGTTCCGTCTTTAATTGTTGTAAAAAGGTAGTTATGTGTGATTTACTACTTCTATACTCTGCAAAAGCAAATGTACTGCATTTTCTCCCATTTTCCATTATATATTTATATTCGCTCGAAAAACGCAATAATGCAGAATTTTATTTTATTCTCATATAATTTAATCATATTGAAATTCACATAAATAGCACAATGGTGAACCTTTCCAACATCTAATAATTCAACTTAATATTTATATGATTAAATTAAATGATTTTTATTCAACAAAATAATCATATAAAGAAACTGAAAACAGCATGTTTTCTTATATTATGTGAAGTTACAAGAAGAAGAATATTTTTCAAAAATATCTCATTTTTTGGAGATAGTATAATTTATGATTCTTGCAACACTGGTAATCTTTTATATTTCACACATTACATACATTTCCACTTAAAACTTGCACCGTTGCCAGATACTTAGGAAAGAAAGTAGCGTTGTCGTTATCAAATGAGTGTGGACTATGGAGTATGTACTAATTGTATATGGGCCTGTTTGGCTGAGTTGACCTATAATTTTTTGTTTTTCATGTTTGTAGCTAATTCACAGGGACTACCTTGTGCCAAACATAATCCTTCATCAACTAATGAAAGCTTTGCATGGAAAGTGCAGTGAAATTACCTTGTAGCAAGATTAATTTCCAAAGAAAAACGGATAACTCGGAAATATTCAGTATTGGTGGAATGACTACAAAATGTTGGAAACTATAAACATATACACACGAAGCAGCACATTTCAACGCATCCAAAATAAACATTTATAAAAAGCTGAATCGAAAACACGAATGAATTATCAATGCATTTCCCAATATAAATATTTTCCTTGGACGATGCATTTCATCCTCAAATAAATGTATTATTGGGAAGCATTAATTTCTCTACACTAAGACTGCGACTGAACTAATGACAAAATGTATTAAATAATTTTTTATTTCTGAGGTTTTCCAAAAAGAATCCAAATTTACTGAGGTTAGTGTTCGTAGCTCTCTTGTAAAGTGGGTTTCAACTTATTTGCGCGATAGAGAATTCTTAGTGTGTGGAAACCGGTATATATCCAGACTTGTTACTCCATCATCGGGAGTCCTCAGCGTAGCCATCTAGATCCGTTATTCGTCTTAATCCATATAAATCATATCGCCCAATGTTTTAGCCATTGCCAATTTCTTCTTTACGCAGATGACTTAAAGATGTATCGTATAGTTGCAAAGTCAACGGTTATTGTCAGAGAAATGACCTACCACTTAATACTAAAAAATTATTCCCAATCACATTTACGAAAAAAGAAACCTGGTCCAGAATGCATATCAGATATAGAATGCCCATATAAATCCTTAAAGCTTACGGCTTAGTAGGTTTTCCTAATTTGTTAAATAAATAAATAAACCTTTTCATTTTATTTTATGAGTCTAGCTTTAAAACTGAGATGAGCATATCACACATCATCTTTCCAAAAGTTTCATATACTCGTAAACAATATCACTTCTAGGTTGATATATCCTTTGAAACCATCTAAGTTATCTGCAAATCCCAAACACAGGATAAATCTACGCAATGCTCTCGAGTATTCCCTGAATGTTTCCTTAACATTTACCAGACATCTATCTGAAATTCAGTCGCTACGATTTTCGGAACAAATTTTACAAGCCATAACATGCAACATTAATATTGCAACGGGATTGCATGACTGCTAAGTTCAAGACTATCTGAAAGTAGATCGTATAGATCAGTCACACTGGCTTAGAATGGTGACAGTAAAATGTATAAGTTACTATTCTGTTCAATTTCAACTGGCAATTTGTTGAAATAGGTGGTAGTATGTTTCTCGACTATTTTCAAATTTTGATTGCTTGTGTTGTACTCCTGATAAACATCGATATTTGGTAATAAACTAGTGTATATCTTAACATGTTACCCATTTCAAAATGTGAGTGCAATATATATTAAGAATTTCCCTTGTCATAAAACTTCTCTTCAAGAGTCAAGCGGCTTCATTCCAAAAATTAATCTGATGATTCTCTTTTGAGCCACAAATACTCTCTCAATTTCACATGATTTCCCCGATACCATAATACTGTAAGATGTGTGGTTATAGGCCAGTGCATAATATATATTTACTAGAGCTATAATATTCTACCTGCAGTATACATATGCTTTACTTAAATTTCTACAAACATGATCAATGTGTTCCCCGAATTTTAATGTGCTGTCAAAATATGTGCCGAGTGATTTACAAGAGTCAGGTAAAGTAAGTTATATCTAGTTCTATATTAATTATGCGATGGATGTTAAAATTTATTGCAATAGTCTTGCTTGAATTTAGGATTAGCCGATTACTTTAGCACCAGGATGAACATTTATCTAACATATGTTTAAGATGATTCACTTTTTTGCAGATATTGTAATGGTGGTGTCATCTGGAAACATAGTACACCCCCTCATTTCAGTTTTCACTTTTCACCAAAACTGAGTTCAAATAAGGTGAGATTTCTTTATCCTTCTTTACCACAACTGTATTACCAACAGACCAGCCTCAGTCATAAGGATTCACAAAAGCTACCTGACGTGGCTTGGAGTCAAGTCAAGCTCAAGTATTAGATATTAGCAATCTAATATCAAATGAAGTAGCTTTTACGTCTGCCTGTCAAGTAATTGAAAATGATACTATTTGATAATTTGTTTAATATAAATACAAGTAGATTATAAATACACAACGGAAAGACTTCATTTGTCACAAGTTATAAAGAAAACAATACATATTGAATAACTAATAAAAGAACGATAAAACTGTAAGCTCAAATTGAATCTTTTAAGGTTCATTCTTTTGCTTAAAGTGACTTTTATCGATATAAGCCTGGTGGTAAAATTAAAAATAATGGTGACATCTGACTGGATTTTGAACCACACTCCTATATCATAACGATGTATGATCATTATATTTTGTTCTTGCAGAAAACGTGTTAAATTAGTTGATAAGCTGTTTGTTTTTTAAGTTTAAATTTAATTTGTTTTTATATTTGTAGAAAACCTGTCTATCTGTGTTGTGTGTCCAAGCTATACGGAAATCAATGGCGCTGCGTGACCCAAAAGTCTCTGATCCGTCGGTGACCTTGCGCCGGGCCTGATTTTGTTGTTGAATCTACCGAATTTCAATGACACTATCTGCCGATTTCATGTGTCTACTTTCCAGGCCTGCTGGCGGAGAAGTATCGTAATCGCGAAAATTTTCGAAAATTAGATGTCTTGTGGCAGAGAAAAAGGCCTGAGACGAAAAATTAAATATAGCTTAGACTTAGTTTTTCGACGTTTGATAGGGTCCTTATCATTTTTGAAAAACAATTTAGAGGTTAGAAACTTAGAGGTGAGAGTTGCAATTGGTGAGGTGAGTTTATCTCATTTCTTTGATGCTTGCACATTTTCATACGCTCCCAACATTGGCAATTATACGCTTCTATTAGAAATATTTCACACATCATTTCTCTCTACTTTATCAATAATTATCAACCGAAGCTGCTGCTAGCATCATGCGCCGACCATGATGAGCGTTCTGGTATGGAATCATACGTATTTCTGAGGCGCAACAACATAGTGTTTTCTATGCTCTGACAGTGCTACCCCGGTGCCACGTCTGCCCGAGTTAGGTATCGGAGAGAGGCGACTATCGAGATGCACTACCGGTAGGGCAGGTAAGAATGTCTATGAACTAATTGTATGAACCTGTTTGACTGACTTATTTCTCAGAGGGGACTAGTTTGAACTGAACATACACCTTTATGTACTGATAAGGGCATTGCGTGGAAACTGCAAAGTTAACGTACTCGACGCTATTTTTTGTAAGATTACAGGACTACCTATGAGCAATGTATTTGTTGTCGGCGGAAAATTAACAACGTTCACCTCCAAAACATTAGTTTAGTTATCTTGAACATAAAATTCGCAATTACACTTTGCATTCCATTTTTGTATAAGCTGTCCGGACACTACAACATTGTTTTATACTTTTTAGTAGTCATCAGTACGGTATAAGTCTAATCGTTGAAGACAGACAACCTAAAGCAGACAAGCAAATATGTGTCTACTGCAAAAGCTCAGTATGTAGTACGGGAAGGGATGAAACTAGCACATATCAGAAGTTCTGGGAACTGTATGATTTCTGAGAATGAAAATAGCAGAACTTGTTTGTAATAGTGGTATCAAGCCTATGATAAAGGTGACGATAACGACGTAGAAGTTAGCACACATGTGCGGACCATCAAAAATCTAATTGCTTAAGTTGCCCGGAAGTAGGGCGGCACTAGAGCTAACAGATGTTGAGCAAACATGATCAATAATTTGTCTGGTCTGCAGCAGAGCCGGTTGGATGTTGGATCTAATCGTGATGACATTTCATTCCCTTCCCAGTTTCTAGTCTGACGTATTTCGCTAGTATCAATAATGAATGACCTAAGGGAAGTTCAATAGTTCGTTCCGAAAGTTTTACGGCCGGAGTGATGCGTAGACATCAGTGCTATCCCTTTATCGAGAAGAATCAAGCCTAATACGAGGGTTGATAAAAAAATATGGTCCCCAAAGTCCTCTAGCCACTTCGGAAGGTGCGAGGGAAAATCTGGCAACACCGTGGCAAGCGATTCCCCTACTCTCAATTCTCTCCCAGTCGAGCTTCGCTGCGTCTAGTGTTGCCGAACTTTAACGATTTTTCGGTATTTTTACCGAAATGAGGCCTTATTTACCGAAAGTATTTCGGATATTTCTACATTATCATAACGAAAGTTGAAAGCAAAAACAAAGCTGAAAAAATGAATTCGAAGTAGCCTAAGTAGTTTAATTCCCCGTACCTCTCATATACGTTTCAGAAAAACGTGCCAACATTCTTAGGGTAAAAATTACATCCAAAAATAACAAAAAACGTTCTTATAAATATGGGTCCAAAGATGCTCCGAGATGTAGGGTGTTGAAGTTTTATTTACGAAACCGAATAGCTAGAGTTTATTGGTAATTTTATTTATGACCTCAAAGAATTCATCAAGCAGAATTTTGTACAGCAACAGTGAGACACTGTTATTTCCAACGAAATGCAAATTTAATTGCTGTCATATCAATCTTATATATTGATCGAGTTTGCTTACGTATCCCAGTTTCTTCAAATGGTCGTGAACGGTTGAATGATGGATTTTTAAGGTTTCTGCAATTTCCCGTGTGGTGTAATGTGGGTTTGCTCCTACCAATGCCTTTAATTCGTCACTATCCAACTCAGTAGGCCGCCCTGATCGAGGTGCGTCATGGATATCAAAATCCCCATCTCGGAATTTTTTAAACCATCTCTGGCATTGCCGTTCTTGTAGTGCATGTTCTCCATAAACCTTTCTCAACTTTTCACACGCTTGTCTTGCGTTCTTGCCTTTGCGGAAGTAATACAGCAAAATGTGACGAAAATGCACAGTTTGGTCGTCCATCTTCAACGTCCTCTAAAATCGACGAGACTCAAATAAATCACTTAATTTTTTGGTGCAAATGAAGCTTGAAGTGTCAACTGTCAAACTGCACAATCAACATACAAATGTCATTGACTCACGTACTTCCAACCATGCAATTGCATACTTTGTTGCATATACGTCATGACTTCTCCGACAACCCAATATATTGCATCAGATTTGTGTCCATGCTTCGAGTATGGCGCAAATATGCTCCTTTTTCACTGGTGCATTATCGTCATCATGGCCGCTAATTTAGTGTCCGTACGCAAATGAAAAGAGAGGTTTCTGTAACTAAGCCAAGTGATTTATGACGTATTTATAATTTTTTCAAGTATATATAGTCGATTAGATCCATTAAATCAAAGACATGCTCTCATTAGTTGAATTTATGTGCCACGTACCTTTGCGTCGCGCTTAGTACAAAAAAAACAACAGTCTATAGAAAAAGGTGGAGATTACACAGAAAAATAGGAAAACGTTTCAATTTTTCAATGATTATGAGGATAATCAGTGTTGTTTGTTCCTGAAATTGATGGGAATCATATTTTTGGGTCAACTCTCATAGATAGCACCTATATAGAGGATACTTTGTCCTGCCTTTGTTCACTGCCCTACCTAGAGAGCAAGCCTAGACCGTGGAGATCATTGCCAATAAGCATGAAATAGCTGTATATGGTTTACCGGATTGACGAAAGCAGTATTATTAGTTTTAATCAGCGGCCAGTTTGACAGTGCTTGACAGTTCACATTAAATTCCATAGGATTATTTGAATTGCAGAAAGCAGTTTAAACAAAACAAAAGCAAACAATATCTATTACCCATCAACGTGATGTTGGGAAAGGCCTGAACCTCAACATTGGGCTTTGACTTGGACAGTGGTGAGGTAATTTCGATTTATTTCATTGCCTTCATGTTTTACTGAGCACTCAGTCCCAATATAAAATTTGTTAACAGAATTGTATGCCTAAGGATAACATTGGAAAATATTGGAGAGACAATCCAAATTTTTTGATGGATTCCGAAAAACGGCCCACCAAAACCTTAATCTGACTGAACTGAACTTTATCTACTTCAATTTTAATCTATACGTTCTTAGGATAGTTTTGCGTTATAAATACGATCTCATTTTAGTGTCACGAGATTCTATGGAGGAACCTCAGTATGCCAACAAAAAAACTATGAATATCAAATTAATTGAACCAATCCTTTATTCGCTTTTTATCCATGATGTTACTTGCCCCAGCAACTGTGAAGTCTACCTCTATGCTGACGACATTGCACTTGTCGCCCAGTCGTATACTGGTGGTCTGGTTCACGGTGGGTTTCAGAGTGCGGTGGAAGAAGTACTAGAGCTGGCGGAACGGTGGCTGATTAAAATTAATCATTCGAAAACGCAGGCCATTTATTGTACCAAAGAACGTCGCGGCCCCTCAACAGAGGTTTCTGTAGACGGCAGTCGTGTACGGTGGACAAATTCTGCCAAGTACCTCGGTGTCACCCTTGATAAAGGCATGACCTGGCAAAAACACAGCAGCCTTGAAAACAAAATTCCAAATTACGTTTCGGCAACTATATCCTTTGTTATGTAGATCCTCCAAATTGAGTTTGATAAACAAAGTTCGCCTATATAAAATGATTATTAGACCAGCTATGACTTATACATGTGCGGCTTGGTGTTTTCTTGCCAAGACACACATGCAAAGTCTTCAAGTACTGCAAAGTAGAACTTTGCAAACAATTTGCAACGCTCCATGGTATGTCTCAAACGAGACACACAGAGACCTTGACATTCCTTACTTGAGAGATTATGTCAAGCTTCACGCGCAGCGACGTTATAGTCAAGCGGAATCGCACAGCAACCCTCTGTTGCGCGACTCAGTGGACTACACAGTGGACGAAGTTCGTAAACATTCAAGGGCACGGCTCGCACTGTAATAAAAAATTAACGTGAACTAGTAAACTTAAAATTACACTTTAACAAAACCGATTCAAAATTTGTTTAGTTCAC